CCCCAAAACCCCAAAACCCCAAAACCCCAAAACCCCAAACTAGTCAAAGGGTATTGTATTAATTTCTTTTCTTTAGTATGGCTAAAACATATTATAGTCTACAGAGTCCTGACTATCTAGTCCTTTCCTAAACAATTAATTTGGATTCTTACAGATTAGAGCTCAGTTGGCTCGATAACTCAACCTTTTTATCAATGTCCGAAATGCTCCTGAAAGGCTCTATTTACATTTACATTCAAGAGTAACTCAAAGACACAAGAAATACAAAGTAAATAACTGATGCTTACTGATTTTAGAAGGATTTCTGTTAAGTCTTGTCACTATAATTTTATCCCCATATTCTTTTAGTTTGGCTATACTTGGCAAACGAAGAGTACCTTTCCCTTCGAACCCAGTTTTCTTAAGAGCAGAAGGCAACACTTTGGGATTGCTAAGGATCCCTATCATTGAAGGCTTTGGTTCTTTTGTAAGAGATCCTTCTTTCCTATCTTCTGCAGAAAAATCGGCTGAAAATTGAGATCAAGATTTTTCTGACCACTTACCAGGTGTTTTATGTTTCTGTTTTTGATCTTCTTGTTTCTGTTCTTCTTTTATAGCAAAGGCCTTACTGCTGACTTTGAGGGTGTCGATAGTGATTTGAGGTTTTTTCTCTATTTTAAGATTTGATAAAACATTATTATTCTTAAAAATAAAAATTGCTTAACCATATTCTATTTCAGTAAATATGTATTTTCATAAAAATTAATCTTTCTGACAAATAAAGTAAAGATTTATAAGAAAACAAAGGAATAATGAAAATTGGATTACCCTTTTCATATGTTTTACCTACAATATTCTATATGTTAAAAGTTTGAGATACTATAGGTATGGTCATGATCATTGTAGCTCAGACAATAGTATTTCATATTAATCCTAAAATGTTAGGTTAAACTCACCTTTTAGCTCATGGTTTTTAAAATCAAACTCTTGGGGGTTGCTTATATCCTTGGGGAATGAATATGCGCTTATTAATATTGCCAGAATTATTGATTCTGTCATAATTGCTCAAATTGTGTCTGTAAGTCTGAGAAACTGCTTTTGTAAGCACAGAAACATTGTGCAGCTCATTTGTAACAGTATAACCCTATAAGCGTGAATCGACAACTTACAAAGTCAGTTGGAGGTATGGACTAGAGATAAACACTAGGATTATCGAGAGGATAAACCTTCTCAAGATATAAATAACATAGTATTTCCTCCTTGTGGTTTCTGATCTCAAGATGTTTCTGTATAATGGGTAAAACATTGCTGTTTCCTCTTCTGTGAAATCCTTCATAAAAATTCTGAAGATTCAGTACATAGCAAACAGATTGTAAATGAGTGACGTCAGGATGCTGATGCAAAGGGAAATTATTTCATTCGCTGAGTGATATCTGAACTCATATATTTCGTTCATAGTAACAAGATTAACGGGGAAATAGCTGATCAAGAAGATGTCAATATACAAGGCAGTGAACATTCTGTAAAAGTATGTCTTGACAATGGTGTTAGTTTCAGCATCTTGATTGTTGAGAATGGATTTATGGAATTTCTTATTTGTATTTGTGTATAACACATAAAAAGATTATTGATACTATTACATAAATAGAAAAGATCAGAAAGAAAGGAACCATTATTATCAGTGTGCTTCCGGATATCAATCCAACTTCATTCATTCTCCAATTGTTTTGAGCAATCGTAAAAGTAATTTCTTCAATTTTATTATAAATCCAAGAAGAGGCCTGTGGAAGGGGTTCGTACTTAAAAAAATTATCTGGAAACTCATACCTGAGCAAGGTGAGCGATAACAATTGGTAAAAGTTTATAAGGATTAATACTATTTGCCCGGACGGAATCTTTACAAACATGGTATAGATAAGAACAGTTACAATAAAAATGAATAGTATCCCTGTTGAGCAATAGTTGATAATTGTGCTTGCTAATATAAGGGTGTCTACTTGGTCATATTTTTGATCGAGTATTCATTGTCCAGATATTTTGGAATATCCTGAAGTGCATGTTTTTCATCTCGAGTACTGATTTCATTCTACTCAGTTGCTTACAGAGCAGGTAGAAAGAATCCTTGAACTGGTAATTGACGCCATGAAAAGTAGCATGAGTAATACGAAGGATTGCTTCATTTTTATTTAATATTTTAAATGATAATCTTTTAGAGCAACAAAAGGTTAATGATTTGGGGTTTTGGGGTTTTGGGGTTTTGGGGTTTTGGGG